AACCCGCATCTAGTTTCAAGCGTTAATAATCGATTATAATTTGATTTTAGTACAGTCTTACCAAAATTGAGAAAAAAATGATTAAAACCAATTAATAATTGATTACAACCTCTCTTTTTGAAATCAATTATAATCAAGTACAATACATTATAATCGATTATAATCGATTACTATAATCAAATTTCTAATTTATTTGTTTTGCAGAAAAATCCATTGAAATTGATTATAATTGCTTATAATCCCTTTTGTTTGTTCATTTTGTCTTTGACCTTTCACCTGAATAGCTTTTATTTTATGTTTTACGTAGACGCTGGCTTATGAGAAAAATCGGAAAAATTTTTTTTAATCAATTTTCAAATCAATTCACACTTATAATTTTTTTTTTCATTTCTTCTTGATTATAGCTGATTCATGATGCATATTTAAGTTTTTTTGATAAACAAATATCAGCACACTGCTTTAGTTTCATGTTTTATATAGAACAACTGTATTTTACCTACCGCGAGATTCTTTCAATTAAAATGAAGGTATCACTATGAAAATTTCGTGGTAAATCTTTGTGTTCAGAAAGTTTTGACAAAAAAAAGGATTATAACCTTTTACAATAGATTAAAATTGATTATAAAAGATTATAAAAGATTTTCGGAAACGTTATAATCAATTATAATTGATTATAACTTATCATGACGCCACAAAAATGTTATCATTATAATGGATTACAAATCGTTTAGACATCGAAACTTGGTGCTTATAATTAATTATAATTTTGATAAAATTACAATTATAATTTTAATAAAATTGATTATTTTCTCTTTTGACTGAGTGCGGAAAAATCAATACTGCAGATTTAAAAATTCACTTTGAAAACTTGATTGAGATATTAAACAAGTTATTCTTTCAACTGCCCTACTCTCCGACCTCCCTTAAAGAGAAAAATAGTTGCTGCAGAAATTTTGATCAAACAAACGAAAAAGAAATGAAAGAAAAATAATTATTCTAATTTTTGTTTCACGCGCAATTTCATGCTCCTAGGAATGTTTTTAGCTTCCTGTTTGGTGATAATTATATTTTGAATTAAAAATGCAAACAAAACGCGTAATTTATCCAAATTGGCCAAATAAGCATTTTCCAAAACCCGAAAAATAATCACATGTGGAACATATTGAAAATGAGAGCGAGCAATGTTATCCATTAGATGGCTTTAGAAACTGTTGCCAAAACGCTCAGAGAAAAAACCTAAATTTGGCTGAATAAAAAATGAGACCTCAGTTTTAAGTATTTTTTCATTTTTTGGGAGTCGGTATAAAAAATTTCAGATGGAAAAAATTTCTGTCAAGAAGAAAACAGTTTGAAAAAACCACACCTATATTAAAACTCTATTGTTTCTTCAAACTAATGGAAAAACAAAACTGTTCGTATAGTCTTGCTATTCCTCCTCGAAATCTTGCTTGTGCCGATTGCTCTATAAAGGTTTTTTTTTCAGCTGATTTTACGAATTAAAATTTATAATTAAATTTATTTTTTAGACTGCCAAAAAATAATCGTAAGTGACTGGAGAATAAATTCGGTACGTTTTCATTAAAACTTGTAAGTTATCCAGAGCCCTTTTTGTTCTGTACAACATGGCTAAATTGACGGATTTTTAAGCCCAAAAACTTATAGAATATGACCACTGGTAAGAAAAATTCACTTACCGTTCCGCACAGGAGTTTCATGGGTCATAATTGACAATGTCAATTTAACTTCATTTTCCTTGAATTTCCTAAACAATTGATTTTAATTAAATTAAAAAAGATTGATATGGTTTTTTCCCAAAATTAGTCCAAAGTTTTAAAACGTTCCAGTAAGTTGCAAAATTGACGGTTGCTAGCCAATCGGTCATGATGAGGGAAGTTTTCGTTTTAAATTCAAATGTTTAAAAATTCGAATTGAACCAGTTATGTTTACTTTTCTTGCGAAAATTTTTTTTGGGTGTTTTTTGTAAGACTATGATCGGAAGGTTATGTGCTACTTGCAGTAATTGGTTATCTTTATTTTGATTTAAAAACGATTGCCTTGTTTTCTATTTTTTCGCTTCATAGTTCCTTTTTTTCTCATAGATTTTTTTAGTAATTTAAATTTTGCTGTTCTATTTTTACTTTTAACCCATTTGACAACCCCTACTTCCCTCGGGTGTCATTTTTCAGCGATGCGACGCAATTATACAACTTTTTGATCAAACTTTCAAAAAAGCCCCGTAAAAACGTCAATTTTGGCCGGTTTTTTCAAGAAAAATTCCAAACGTCAGGACACATTTCAGTTTCCCCCGCTCCACATTTCAATAACTCCCCCACCCCCTTTGTAGCACTACCCCCATACATCATTCCTGACGTTTAATTGAGGAGAAAGGATAAGTTTTAGGGGAATTAGTTTGGGGAGGGGTTAGTATGTGGGAGGGGAAGGGCTCGTATGGGGAGGGGGGAGGGGGGAGGGCTCGTATTGTGTTAATTGTGAGAGGGATATTTTTTTGAAAAAAAAATATGAAAGTGAGTAGGATACAAAATCAAATACGTTGTGAGAAACACATTGCAATATTCGAAAACAAATTGAATCTAATTTATACAGATTACTCTCCATTATAATGGTTTTTAACGGAACTTTAAATTGATTTTAATCCAATTAAATTTTTTGAGGTTTAAAAATCAATTCAAGTTTTAAAAGTGTAATCAGGAGCGGATATAGGATTTTCTCGAGGGTGGGGGACGGATTTTGTCGAAAATTGTCGAAAATAATATTTTATTTTTTACGCCGGCCGAATTGATTTTCTGAGCCCTCCCAAATCACTATAAATACCCCCATTTTGACCAAATTTTCTGCGTCGCAGGCAAGTTTTTGAAAAAACAGGCCAAAAAAGGCGTTTTTAGCCTTTTTATAGAAAATTTTGACAAACAAATCGCGTTTTTTCGGCGCGCGCTCCCATTCCCCCCCCCCCCCCAATCCGCTACTGAGTGTAATTATAATCCCTTATAATGGAACTATTTTTGACATGTTTCTCGTAAAACTCCAGTGCGGGTTTGAACTCGGAAAGTCAATATCATTGTTGGGGTAAAAAAATCTGTTATTTGATCCCCAAAACTGGTCTGAATAAAAAACCAACCCAGGAGAGCATAATCTGTGTTCGCTTAGAGAGCCAGAACATATTTTTGAGTAAATTTAGAAACAGGTATTGAACAAATTGTGTTGCCTCAACCAGAAATGTTTTTTTTTCTGTACAAGATTCAACTGCGTTCAGTACAGAAACTGGAACGTGATTTAATGAGTATTGCTTTTAAATCTCGAATGACCGTTTTATCCTACAGGTAGTTTAAAAAATCATATTTTAAATTGGAGTCAAATTTTAAACCATAAAACTGATATTTAAAAAAATGGTAAGTTTCTTCAATCACCGAATCCGCTCATGAACAAAAATTTGGCTGGTGAAATCTCTATTTGAATACCATCAATCGCCTAGTAGTATAGTAACCTGTCAGTTCCAGATAAATTAAAAGGGATTGGCTTAAGTGAAAGATTTGGCTTAATAGAAAGATTAGTAGAACACCACTCAGCCGTGGGGGGGGGGGGGGGGGGGGATTTCAAGTGCATGTAAAAATATTTGGCAGGTCAACTTCGCTGGTTGACTCAAGCATGAAAACATACGTCACAGCAATATCTGCTAGCATTAAAAGGAATTTTGAAAAGTTTTTTTTCAATGTCTGATCTTGAATTGAAATAATTGGAATAACCCTCAATACCGTCTAATTGAGAGACTTGCCTCTTGTTGCCTTGCCGTCCGAATTTCCTGTCATAGTTCAGAAGAAGGAAACGTGTTACCATATAAGACATGTACGGAAACGCCAAGCAGCGTTGTTGGAAAACCTGAAAAAAAAGTGAAAGTGATAGCAATACACAAAGGCAGAAACAAGAATGATCTGATTAAATGTTTGACAAAAACTTGCCAAATACTGGTAATAAAGAGATTGGTCTAAGAAAGGACCAATCTCTTTCATAATGGTGTTTGGCAAATTTTGCGAGAAGCTAATATTCATCACGTTGAATTAAATTTCCATATACTTTTTAAAAAAACTAAAAATAAGCATTATTGATGCTCTTCTATCGTGTTTTGAACAAAACATGTTTCGTTGAACTAATCAATCTACAGCTTTTTTAGGCTCAGAAACAGTTTTTTTTTAAAAAACGTTTGTGTTTTTTTTGCCAATTCTACAATTTTGTTTTATCAATCACGAATCAACTGACAAAATCTTAGAAAATTTTTACTATCTAAGAACTATTTTATATCTAAGCAGCTTACATTTTCTATACCTAAAAAAACTCAGAAATGGTTAAAAAAAAATCTTATTAGCGGAGACCTAAACTGTTTCAATCACAATTTTTAGTTAAATATGTTCAAGAAAAACTGATTTTATACTCAAAAGGGTTCAGTAGTTAAGCTATACTGAGTCTGTAAATAACCCTTTCAATTTGTTTCGACTAAACTTTTTTTGTTTTTTTTCCCTCTTAAGCCATCAATTTCTAATCCTACCAGAATTTTCTAATACCTAAAGATATTATTTTTTAATATTTAGAAAAAAAATTGATCTCTACTCTCAAGTTTTGCTTCATTGCCAAGGATCCAATAGCAATGATCTTTTATTTTTGCTTTGAGAGGCTTGAAAACGTACAACCTATTAATGTTAAGGCACTTTCTTAGGTGATGCTTTTGTAGAAGACTTCCTCACTTTTAATTTTGTTGGTGTAATTACCTCACTTGGAAAGAAATTACTATTGACATTCGGTTTACGCAACATGTGATAATATTATGATATGTATGTTGATAAGTATAGTTATCTAAAGAAAAGTAGCGAAAAAGTTACACATTTTATTAAAAAGAACAATCTGCCAATTTAGAAAAAACTCTATTTGAATTTTGAACTTTCAAACGACTTTGTGACATTATTTTCGTTAACTAACTAAGACTTGGGGGCAAAAAATTTCTAATAGGCAGATGCTCTTTTTAATTAATTCTGTCTGTTGGATTTTCTTCCTACTTTTTAAATCTAACAGTTTGATTCTCATGAGTAGACACTCAGTTTGATCTCACGAGTTGTTTGTTCTTGTGATCTGTCCTTGTGTTCGATCGAACCTCCCTTCTTCAATCATTTTAACTGCTGTAGCAAGTTGGCTTTCTCCTGTCCATCTACTTATAATTTCTTTCACAAGAGGAATCGCAGTTCCGCCAAATTCCAATGGACTCTTTCTGTAAAGAGCGAGTCCACTGCGTCTTTCTATGATAAGTTTGACAGTATGGTCTCTCAAGCGATCTATGCCAACGCGCTGTAAAGTTTGTTCCAGAAGTTTGTGATAATCAGATGTTTGATATACAAATCTGAAGTTTTATTTAAATTCATATCTGTTCACCCAATTTAGAAATATTTTTTGTCTGACTTTTGAAACAACATAAAAACATTTGAATTTTGTAAGAATTTCTTGAAAATAATTCGAAGTCAGTTAATTGTTTCTTTATTTATTTGCAATAACAGAAATCTAAAAAATACGCTTTTTTTCAAAATTAAAAGAAATAAGTATTCCACAACTTCTGCAAAGTCGCAGCAAAAAGTATTTGCCATGAAGAGTATAAATATATTTTTGCACCAAGAAATCGAGCTGTTTGAATGCAAATTGCCTGTTCGAGGCAATTCTTTTTCTGATAATTTTGAATCACAATTTATTTCTTAAAATTTCTGGGTGAAAAATCAAAGATTTCTGTTTGTGCCTGCAAATCCAGAATCTCCACCGCCACTTTTGCCTAATCGTCGATTGAATTTTACAAAACTGATGAAATTCGCAAAATTTCTAAGTTGGAATTGTGTTCAGTATTTTTCGAACCAATTATACCATTGAACCAAAGCTGAGAAGGCTAAAATTGAAATAAACGGGGAAGATTCAGAAAAAATTAACAATACAAAACCTCTTTTGGATCAAACAATACTAATAAAATCTTTAATATATTACTCGATACAGCATAAACTAATCTTATTTATTTTTGCTTTACTAATGGTTGGTGCTATTACATTGATAACAGTTGTCGCAATTTCTTAAAAGCGAGTTAACAAAAAAAATCCCGGGATATCGTGCTACGGGAAAATTCGACACAACACGGATCTGCTAGACAACAAAAATGTCTCGGTTTCTGGGTGAACAGATGTGAATTTGATAAATACTCATTGCGGGTCCAGTTGAATATTTGGAGCAATTCGAGACGGGGACATTTCTTAAGAGTTCCGATGATGAAATCTGCCAAATTCATGCCCGTTTCCGTCAGAACGTCTCGGGGCGCAACTGAAACGCAAACAGGCTAAAAAATTTGTTAAAAATTGAAATGATTAAATGGTTTGGCTTTGACAATAAAAAGCATGCTTTGATTTCTAAAAACATGCCTTCTCAAAGCTAATACAGTAAAAAAAAACAAGACAAAGAAAAACAGAGATACGTTTATTTCAGGTACAATTCCTCATACGGTTTCCGTGCATTCTAATCAACAGAACACACCCCCCCCCCCCCGTTATTCCCAAAAAATTTAGAGGAACATGTGTTTTTCTTCAGAAATTCACTTTGAGCTTAAAAAATTATCCGATCCAATTAATGAAACATTACAGAAGAAAAAATTCCATCAAGATGAAAAAGCCTACAAATGCAATTACAGATCATAACAAGGAAAACTGGCTGTGAAAGTGGCATAAAGTGTTGAAAGTAGCACTAAAACACTGATTTAAGAAAAAATCAGGAACCTTTTTTTTTGTAAAATTGAAGATCTCAGATTTCGTATTTCATTTGATAAAAAGGGCAGTGCTGTGTAACCAAATTGGGTTCGTTAACTGTCCCCTCACTGTTTCTGGTGCTTCATATTTAAATTCTTGTTATTTGCGTATTTACCATTAACAATGAGAAATAAATTCTTTCTTTCGTATAAATTGTTCTTAAGATTTTGCAATTTGTTTTCTTTTTAAATTTTAGGTTACTATTTTAAAATGAAGAATGGCTTAAATAGATGAAAAAGCATTAGAATGAGAAGTAAAGACCACTAAAAACGTGAAAATAGCAGTAGTCAAATAACGTCAAAATTGTAGGGAAGAGCTGCTCAGGTATGATCTAATTTAACCTGAAAATTAAAAAAAATACAGCTCAAAATACGACAAGTTTTCGACACTAACATTTTCTTTGGAATCCGGCCATCAGAAATTTACTATTACACCAAATTTATCCATCTGGAAGATTTTTCGGGGTAGTCAAAATCCAGAAACACTATACCTAATGAATAGTTTCTTCTAGTCACATATAATGTGTTTGGAACGAAACCTCATAGAAGAAAAACTGCACCCATTATTGATTTTCTATTATAAGTAAAATGGATTTTCTATTCAAACTGCTATTCAAAATTTTATGCGGAGGGGCAGGAAATTTTACATTTATCCCTGCATTCTATTAAAATGTTTTAAAATCTTTACCGTCACTTTTTCTGCAAACTATGCATAGTTTCCAGAAAAAGTGGTGGCAAGATTTTAAAAAACTTTAATAGAATGCAGAGATAAAATGTAAAATTTCCTCCCCCTCCCCATAAAATTTTGAAAAGCAATTTGTGTTTTAATATCTAGTACTTTTTATTATGATGGAAAAAATACCAAACCTTTTAGATAACATCAACATGAAAAACCTACTTTGCTAGATCTGACTCTCTTGGCTATCCAGCAGAAGTATATTCATCTTTATTGATTTTTGAAGATTTTACCTTGTTGAAACTTTGTTGGGCTGTGTAAGAGGCTTCTTTTGATATAAGTTTCTCATGAATTTTTGTGGTAGTTTCAACTTTTTTCTTGGTTAATTTAAAAAAATCAAATTGACCCATTTTTGAGGTAAAATTTTGGTTGCGAATTTCCTGAAATGAATTGCATCCTAATGTTTTTGTTAAAGTTCTAAGTAAAGTTTGTTCTTTTTAATTTTTGTATAATGTTGACCTATTTTGATAAAAACGCTTAAGCCCTGGAATACTCAAAAACCCAGTCTGGCATACGAGGGCGCAATACTAAGTTGATGAGTGCTGCAATTCTGTCCTTATTTTCTATTCTGTTCAATATATGTGACTGTTTTAACTTTCCTGCAAAAAACACCAGTTTAAAAAATGGCTCCTAACCAGGGGCGGATTTGGGAGGGGTTGACGCCTCTTTCTCAGAGTTTCGAACCTTTTTGCTACTTTTTAAGAAACATATTTTTGGCTAACCGACCCTACAATGTTTCTATAAGTGCCAACAATCACTAATTCTGAGTGAGAACGCGCACAAAAAAGGCGGCCTTTCAGTCAACACTTTCCAAAAAAAACTCAAAAATTCGACTGCCGTGCAAAATTGTTTTGGCGAACTACGGTCTGTTAGTGTTCTACGAGTTCTCAGAAACTCAGTTTGGTCGACCTTAATAATCGAATTTTTTTTTGAAAAACCACCTCGAGAAAATCCTGTTTAACCTTGCTCATGGTTATAGTTTTTTCCGGAGTGATTAGTTTTATAAGAGTAAAAAGAACTAACAGAAGCAACTAATTTTCTACCAATTTTAAGGCTCAATTCTGATAGCGTCAAGACTATCCATGTTACATGTCGTGAGCAGTAGCGCTCTTCTTCTCAAAGAATCGACTCTCTGCCGACGCAAAGCCCCCCCTTCATACTACTTTGAGATAACAATTTTTTTTACAATTTTTTCTAAAGGTGCCTTTGGCGCAAATACTTTTTTATTCTGAGGGAGTTGCGCGCGCCGAAAAAACGCGGCGAAAAAAGTTTGATCAAAATAGGGTTTTTGCTAGGGGTGGATATAGGATTTTCTGGAGGTGAGCGGATTTTTCAAAAAATGCCGAAAATTTTGTCGACTTTTTTATTTTTTAAAGTTCGGCAGAACTAATTTTCTGATTTTCCGAGCACTTCCAAAGCACTTAACTAAAATAGCCTAATTTTGGCCAAGTTTTCAGATACTTTTTCAAAAAGTGCCAGCTCTCTCATCAAATTTAGTGTCAAATGAGAATTTTTATTGATTTGTTTTAGTATTTCTAGAGATGTTTTAGAGTCAGCGAGCCAAGAATGGCGGTCTTAAAATAAATCCAAAGGCGGACCCAAAATTGGGTAGCCAAGGGGCCGAATCTCATCTCGAGAAAATTTGATCAAATTGAGAAGTTAAGGAAAAGATGGGCGAAATGAAAATACTTTTGAAATCAGAAATCGAAAAATGTCAGGCCCGGTTTCAAAATATGTATCAGCGTCGGTTAAAAGTATGTATCAAATTATGACAAAAAAAGTATTAACGTCGGTTAAAAATACGTATCAAAATATAGCAAAATGTGTATCAGCGTCGGTTATAAATATGTATCAAACTCAGACAAAATATGTATTAACGACGTTAAAAAGACGTATCAAAATATGGCCAAACGTGTATCAGCGTCGTTTAAAACTGTATCGAAAACGACAAAGTACGTATCAGCGTCAGGCCCGGTTTCAAAATATATATCAGCGCCGGGCAAATCATGTGTCAAAGTAAGTCAAAATATGTATCAGAATTGTTTAAGAATATGTATCAACGTATGGTCCGATTTCAAAATATGTGTCAGCGTCGGTTAAAAATTTTTATCAAAATATGGCAAAAAATGTACCAGCGTCAGGCCGGTTTGAAAATATGTATCAGCGTCGGGCAAAATATGTGTCAAATTAAATCAAAATATCTATCAGAATTGATTTATAATATGTATTAAAATATGACAAAATATGTATCAGCGTCGCTTAAAAATGTATCAAAAAATGACAAAATACGTATCAGCGTCAGGCCTGGTTTCAAAATATGTATCAGCGTCGGGCAAAATATGTGTCAAAATAAGTCAAAATATGTATCAGAATTGGTTAAAAGTATGTATCAAAATATGACAAAATGTGTATCAGCGTCAGGTCCGGTTTCAACATATGTATCAGCATCGGTTAAAAACATTTATCAAAAAATGGCAAAGAATGTATCAGCGTCAGGCCGGTTTGAAAATATGTATCAGCGTCTGAAACTCAGTATTAAAGCATGTTTGAGTTTGCCATGCTTGTTTTTCCGACTTTCGAAGAAAGCGGAATATTTATGTTTGGTGCGGTTTTTTTATTCAGTCAATTTTCGTTGTTCGAAATAATAGATGTTAACAACTTAATAAAAAAATTTTATACCCCATTGAAAATATCGACTTCCTGAAATCAATTTGAAAACACGTTTTATGTCCGATCAAAATTCTGGGAGTTTTGTTTTGCATAGTTCTGGGAATTGAATTTTGCCAATTTGGCCATCTCTGGACTAATTTATGCGCGTTTTGAATATTTTATTCATAACGCTGAAAGCGTAACGCAAATTATTTATGCATGCCGAAATATACCGCACAACAAAATGGTTCCAAATTGAATTCAGGCAAGCTAACCGATCGTATATTAATTTCGTACGACTCAAATTGTCACACTTGATCTTTGATATTGTCCAAAATTTATAGTTTTTCAGTATTTTCTTTTCCCAAAAACCTCTTCGATATAGATTAAGGGGCAGTCTGAACATTCAGAGCTTTGCCCTGATATACGAGCAGTCTTGTTGTTCGACTTTCGATACGAAAGTAACGAAATATTTGTGCTCGGGGTGGGTTTTTTTCTTCAGACAAATTTCGACTTCTTAACTAGCCATTTTTGACGGAATTTTTTATATCATTCAAAAGGTATTGTTGTCCTGAGCTTAAATTTGAAAAGATATTTCTCCTGTGATCTCTTTTCGTAAAGTTACGGGGGTTTAAAGATTGCCATTTGGCCAATTGGGGACAATTAACTCGCGATATATTTCGCGCTACTAACGCGTAAGCGGAGAGTTAATCCGTCTTAAAATCGTTCCAAATTGATTGAAAGAAGCTTATTTGCCATAATTGATTTGTTACAAGGAGCGAAATCTATCCTTTTGTACTTTATATGGCGTGTGGGGGGGATGATTTTCATGAGAAATTTCAAAATTTAGAAAAAAAAATTTTCATTTTATTTTTATTACATTTAAATTTTTGATGTTATTACTGCTGCAGAAAACCTTAAAAGGCAGTCGGAACATTCAAGGCTTCGCCCTGATACGAGCAGTCTTGTTTATTTTGACTAACAAACTTTGAGCAAACTCTGTGAACTTTCGAAAGTGAAAGTAGTATAGTATCCGGATGCTTTATCTTTGCTAATTGCAAAGGTAAATAAAAAATGAACTTGCCTATTGCATTTGAGAGGTTGAGCACCACCAGACTAACAGGTAACAAGTCGGCACCAATCATGCCACCTTCGATATGCAAACGGAAAATATTCCGACATTTTGCAAAGTACTTTGCCGCTGAACCGTGAACAGAAACGTCTGAGCACATTTCAGGCAGCTCTTCAAAACTGAACTCCCCCAAATCCAAGTCAGCTGCAAATTTGAACGTGCGGAGATTCGGAAATGCAGATGGTACATTTTGCTTTAAAATAATGAGATCTTGATGACATTTAACAGTCAAATCTATCCCTTCGACCGAAGTAAGATAGAACTTTGAACTCGAATTTAATTCTAATGGCCCGATGATGCGTAATTTTTTCAACATTGGAAAATTCGCTTGCACATTGTCTGATGTTATCGCTAGTGGTCCAGATATCATCAACTGAGTAAGGTTGGTAAGATCCACAAAAAACCTGGCTGAATTTATCTCTATCGGCCCAGAGATGCTCAACTGAGTCAAGTTTGTAAGGTTCGCGCAAAAATCAGATGACATTATCCGTATCGGCCCGCAGACACTCAATAGACTAGAATTTGTTATATTCATGAATAAATGGGTCGCGTTTATCTGTAACGATCCTTGAATGTTCAATTGATTAAGGTTTGTCAAATTGGCCCTGTACATGGTCGATTTTATCTCTAGAGGCCCGCAGATGTTCAAATGAGTCGTGACTGTCAGATTCGTGAAAAGATCGGCTGAATTAATCTTTAATGACCCGCTGATACTTAAATGAGAAAGTCTTTCTAGATTTGCCACAAAGAAATCTGAGTTTATTTTTAATGGTTCGCTGATGCGCAGATGAGTTAGGTGGTCTAGATTTGCAGAAAACCGCGTCGCTGTTATCTCTAATCTTTCGCTGATATTTAAATGAGAGAGTAATTTCAGATCCACCCTTAAATTGGTCGATGATATATTTAGCGGCCAGTTTAAACGGGTCATGTTTTTTACATTTGCCAAAAAACTCTTCGATGACACCAGCAAGGGCTCGCTGATGGTTAAGCCACTCAGGTTCATTTGATGAGCTAACTCCTCGGCTGATGGAATCAATAACTGGCAATCAATATCGGCTAGGTCTCTCATTTTTGTTAAGTTAACTAAACACTTCATATCGAGAGTAGCAGCACTAAAAAAGAGGTTTTTCAGTCCCACGAAGCCTGGGTTTATTATGCAGTCCAGGAAAAGGAGGAGTTTTAGACTGATTTGGTTTTCGGAACTCTTACTTGACTTCAAGAATTTTCTATCAATTTGAAAATTTAAGTTGACGGAATTGATTTTTCGAGCTTGAAAAAAAGACAATATTTTGAAATGATTAGCAAACAGGTTGAAATCAAAATCATTTGAGTTGAAATCTAACACAGGCAACAGTAATCGCGACCTTCTGGGGCTTATTAGAGTTCCAGGACCTTGTTCAAAAATATCAGCTAGATGCGTGATCTTTTCCTCGTTAATCTGACGTCCAAATTTGATCTCGATGTCTCTGAACGTCCAATTCGTTTTTTGCTTTATAAATCTCAACGCGTTTTGAATCATTAGCGAGTTTTTCTCTTCGTTCAATGGCGTTTTGTCAAGGCTAATAAATAACTTTCTAATCAGTATTAATGCATCATCAACTAATCTGCAGATTAATTTGCACGTACGCCGTAAACTTATCAAGTCTCTGATTGAAATCATCGACATGCTGAAACCATTTTTAGACAGATTTTCTCGATCTACAATTAATTGGAAAATATTTTCTAGAACTATAGCGGGAAGATCGACCAAGGACAAGGATTTCATTGAGGTTTTCTTCCGAGACATTCCGCAAATTCAGTTAACTCACAAACCTGGATCTTGGGGTCTTGCGCTTTTTTTCGCCACTGATTTAGCGAGACTCAAATTCTTACTGTGAATGCAAATAATGCAAGAGTCTTAAATTATTGAATCATAAAAAGAAGATATTTAAGTCGGTATAGTCACTAAACATATAAGCTAAAGCTACATATAAGCTGATTTGAAAAACGCAAAACTGTCAGTTCTCGAATTAAATACAACTTGAGCATCACGCACGCAAAATATACAATTGGCTATGAAGTCAATTTTTCAAAACTATAAAGTTACAATCACGATACTGAATTAGAGCAGGCGGTAGTAGTTTTTCGTCTGAAGCCAACCAAGTAGATTGGGGGATCTCTTTTATTTTTCTCCCCAATGGTACCTAGTAACGAATTGCCACCCCTATGAAAAAATATTTCAACGGTCACAAAATATGTGAACTTTGCATCTAGTAACGAATCTCTCCCCCTTATGCAAAAAAGGGAATAGTTAAAGAGACCCACATTGGGTTTTAACTGTCTTGCTTCAAAGACAGCCACTTTGACCAGAATGCTTTGGTCAAAATCAAAACCACAAATGGTTCTGTCATACTTGCCGAATGAACAACAATTTCGTTCGAAAAAAGGAAGAATTATTTTGTATTTTTTCGAAATTTCGAAAATTTTGACGACCTTTTTTTTTGGTCGACTTAATTGATTCTCCGAGCTCTCCCAAATCACTAAAAAGACGTTTTTGGGCACTTTTATGAAAGTTTTGACAAAAAACCGCGGTTTTTTTGGCACGCGCTCCCTCTCAAAATTTTAGGGTCGGTCGGCCAAAAATGGATTTCTTAAAAAGTACCAAAGGGGGGACCCTTTGGGTCAACAGGGGGTCGAATCTCTGGTAAGGAACGTCCCCCCCCTCCCCCCTAAATCTGCCCCTGCTTTTAAGCGTTGGTTGTTTCGGCTGTCTTCGACTGTCTAAGCTCGGCCTAAAAAAAGTGTTTTTATCTGCGCCAAAGTAAATAATATCAACCCGAAAAAGGCATCACGCAAACATCATTTCTAAGCTGAGAAATCAAATTTACTACTGGTACTAACAGCACAAAAAACGTCAAAGAAATCAGAGCAACGACGCACGATTAATTATTAAGTCAATACAAAAGTCGGCCGTTTTATAGAAAAAAAATTCAGTGAGTTATCAGGACAAAACTTGAATTTTTTTACACGGAAGCAAAAGGAGATTTGGTAATTTTTTTTGCACCACTTGCAGTACAAAAATGATTGACTGTGAAAAAAAAACGCAAAAAGTAAACCACAACTTGAAAAAACCTTTTAATTTGTTTTTGTCAAAAAATTCTTAATAATTGAAAACAAAAAGACAAATTATTCAAAATGATATATAAGTACACCATTCAAAATTTTACAAAGAGCTTTCAAATTGCTAGAAAAAAGCCGATCTTTTGTTTAGAAAAAATCCTTACTGCGGGAACTAAGAGGGGCAAAATAAGCAGAGACACAAAAAGCCTAATTAGCCGAAAATTTTCAAGTTGCAAAAAATTATTCCCGACTGGGATCAAACTCCAGGGATTTGTTGTCATTTATAGCTGTTACAGCAACTTAAAAGACAGCTGAAAATTCAAAAAAAGGACTACGGTAACTATACTAAAAACAAAATAAACAGACGGACGATAAGTCCGAAAAAGCGGTAAAACTCAAGTTTGCAAAAAACTGGTTCCGGCCGGATTAAACTACAAGCTTACAAGCCTATTCCGTCTCAGGCAAAAGTGTTACCTCCAAGCCAGATGTGACCGATGGCTGATTGATGCGGTTTTATAGTAAAGGAAGCATATGAGTGAGTCAAGGATCCAGAAGATGAGTCTTGAGACAAAAAGCCAGGTGAACCAAAATTTTCGTACGTTTCGATAAAAAACAACCAGGGACGCAGCTAAACCTGTTGGTACCTTTTTGATATTTAATTCATTTAGTGTACTGATGCGGCACGAAAACGTCAGTTGTTGCTCTACTAAAATAAGTGTGAAGATAACATTTCTCCTACAAAAAATAGGATGTTGCCTCTTTTGCAGGAACAATTATCGCATTCGTATCTTTCGATTGAACTTTTAATCTTTAAAAAAATCCAAAATTTTCTAAAAAATGGACAAAACTTCTAAGATAACGGCCAAAAGACTTTCCAAAATCCATATTGTTTTCTGCAAAAAACAACTTTTGGCCGCTTAAGCAAAACCAAAGCTTTGAAAAATTGTCGAATTTTTAAAGCTTTGATTTGTTTGAAGGCCATAACTTTTTCTGAAGCAAACTGAGCATCGCCGATTGTAAAGGAAGGATCTCCAAAAGCTGTTGTTTCGATTGAACCAATAATCTCAGATTTGGCTGGATAAATATTGAGAAAAACCTAAAAACAGTCAACAAATCAAAAATTTGACATTTCCGAGGGCGATATTATTTTCGTTCCAAATTTTGTGAGTGGTCTTAATGCAGGGGAGCTTATCACTGCCCTTTGTCTTTTTTAACTCATATTAGCAGACTTGAGAAGTTAATTTTTGAGAAAAGCCTAAAGATTCACGAAACGGTAAAAAATCAAAAATTTGACTGTTCCGAGGGCCATAACTTTGTGATAGAAAAAACTTGGGCATAGCCGCTTGTTCAGGAGAGATTTTCAGAACCGTTTTTAAAATTGAAACAAAAAGCTACGATTTGGGATGGGTACTTTTTGAGAAAATGAAAAATAAATCAATAATATGGGTAAAATATTCCCCCACAGACTTTTTCGAAGGCTCTAGACAGAGGGGCTATAAGAGGAGACTTTGGGGGAGTATGCAGCCTACAGAGGAGTAGACGGTGTTTCGATTGAAAACCCTCTTTTGAAAATCAGTAGAAAGTTTTAAGAAAAACTACAGACTTTGCAACAAGTGAAAAAAAAATCCAAACCGAAAGAAGTTTCAAGAAACCGATTGGTAAAAATACAATCAACTTAAAAAAAACAGAAGGGAGTGTAAAATGTGTAAAAACATTTATAGCTACATTAAAAAAGCGCACAACAAAAAAAATCCATGACGTGACAACTAAACCGACTACAGACAAGCAGACAAATAAACGGCCAAAAATTTTATTTGAACAGAATATTTCCATTGAAAAAAATAAACAGGTCAGATTCGAACCCTCGACCTTTGCCCTCCCAGGCATATTCCCTACTTCCAGGCTAAGTTGGCCGCAAATGCATAGAAATTTGAATAGGTTGTGAAACAAAACATCGCTAAAAACGAGTCCAGACGTTCAGATGAGTCCTGTGAACAAAGTTAATTGTGGGGAAAAAAGAAAAAAGTCGTGTACCCTTTAGCAATACTCTTGCTTTTTACCAGGGTAATCAGCGAAGTAGAGAAAAAGTTATTGTTTTACAGGCAATTTTTTTTTTGAAAAATATTAACCTTTTGTAGAGAACTGTTTTTAAGACCAAAATTAGAGCTTAATTTTTTTGGGCCTTTCTAAATTTTGAACCAGGTACAAAACTTCCATATTCCTAATAAGTGTCTTAACCATACAATTTACATATTTGAGAATTGTTGACTAGCTGTTCTTTTCATAAACGCTAGTATGAAATTGTATGAGTATCATTTTCAATTTATGGCGCTCAAGACCGGCACTGTGGCAAAAATTGATCATGATCGTTTTTTTTTTTCAACTGAGTTTTGGTGAGAAACAGAAAAAACTTATTTTTGAGAAGAAGTGCAGCCATCCAAGTCTGGCATGAGTTTTGGGGGGTGGAGGGAGGCGGACGTCCTCATCAGTGATTCGACCCCCTCTTCAACCAAAGGGTGCCCCTTTGGTATTGTTTTATGACATCCAAAGTGGTGCAAATATACACTAATTTTGGTGCACTAATTTTGGTGGCCTTTGGTGCAAATATACACTAATTTTGAAAGGCGCGCGTTTTAATAACGCATTTTTGGCCTGTTTTTTTTTTAAACGGCCGAGAAAGTTTTCAAAAACTTCCACAGGTTACTTTAGCTTAAAATTTCACCACTAACTACTGATTCACTCAACAGAATTTTAAAAATTTTATCAGATCTGGAAAACTAAAACGCGAGAAGGATGTTAAGCATTTTTCACCTTTCTTCGGTCATCCATTCGGCAAAAAACTAACGACTGCTCGGCGATACCGGAAACTTGTAAGCAAACACTGAACATACGCAAACTGGCCTGTTCTTTTTTTGGCCTGTTGTTTTATACATACATATGTATAAAACAACCGGCCAACTGGTGAATATTTATGTCTGTTGTTGATTATGTCGAACTGGCTAATGTTCTACGCATTTGTATAGCTTTTCATCACCTTGTCATTAAAAGAAAAGCACACACCTTCGAACACTGAAGAAAAGCTGCACTGTGCAAACGCACGGATCAAAAAAGAGAAAAAAAATTAAAACATTTCGTGCGTTTTGAGAACTAAGCGACCTCTGTAAGTTTCAAACTTAAGCCCTCGGATACCCAGTTTTAACAATCGACTGCCGTGCAGAACTGTACCACTGGAGTTTACAGAAACTGTGACACTACGCTTGCTTAAGTAAAAAAATCCTTTTTTGTACGTTTTAGTGTGGTCAAAGTTTATTGTATTAATTGCACAGCAACCGGCTATCTTTATATCTTTTTGTCAATTTTCAAGCCATTTTTGATTCAAAGCCATTGATATTCCATTTTCATTTTTTTTCATTAAATTTGTATGCGACAAGCAGGCTCCCTAAAATGCAGGCATTGAAAGCACAACTTTGGAAAACTTTTTTCCGTTCAAGAATAAAAACTAATAGTGCTTCAAGATACTACCCGGCTCAAAAACCCAATACTTTTATTTACTGTACCCTAAATCAAGTGGAACACATCTATTCTAGGCCTCAACCAGAGGCGAATTTAAGGTGGGGGGCGGGGGGGGCGGACGCCCCTTCCTCAGGGATTCGACCCCCTGCCGACCCAAAGGGTCCCCCCTTTGATACTTTTTAATAAATCCATTTTTGGCCTACCGACCCTAAAATTTTTTGTAAGGGCGATTTCGGTGCCAATATTGACTATTTTTTGAGGGGGAGCGCGCGCCAAAAAAAAACGCGATTTTTTTGTCAAAATTTTTCAAAAAGTTTTGACAAAAAACTTTTTGGCCTCAACCAATCTTATTTATTTCTGAAAAAT